TTTTTACTACAAAGTGAGTGTTTAAATCAGTTGTTTGGTTTAGCTCCGCCAACAACGAGGTCCGGCCATTAGGTTGTCTGCACGATTCGCCCTCCGGTGGTCCAAACGTGCAACTGCATATATAAACTAGTTCCCTCCAAAGGGTTGTCTGCTCCATGTGTGGCTGAATATTTAAGCCAGGTAATCGCCCTCTTGTGGCTCAAACGTGCAACTTCACTCGTCGTCGTTTTGGCCGGTCCTCGTTGGTGGAGCTAAACCGAACAACCGACCGCATTACCAGACAACATTTCATCATAAATTTGTTCCTACGCTACACTGCCCTCGTGGAACATGAATAAAATAGTTATCTATCTTTATAACAATTTAGATCTTCAATCACATCCATCCACGGTGTAGTAGGTTTCAGGTGCAAATTCTATATATTAAATTTTTAATTTGCATGCAATTAACTCCAGTATATGGGTCCATGATAAATTATAAAAAAATGACAATTCCAGTTCTAATTAGCCTTCTTTTAATTTATTTCCTCTTTATTTCCTCTCCTCGCAGTGTGATTTTTTCTGATTGGATCTCTACTCCAGTCATCCCTCCCTAATATTTTCGTCTCTTTTTTTATTTATCAGTATTCGTTATCTTTCATAGTCTTCATCATCGTAACGGACTTTTTATTTATTTTTATTTAATTTCTATCCGTGAAAAAGGTTTGTTGACTAAGATTTGTCATCATTATCTTCTTTAACAAATTTAACATTGTTCACTTAATGTTTTCTTCTAAAATATATAATTTTTAATTACTAAACTATCTTCTGGACATCTTAAATTCTAATATACAGTTAATTTCCTGTTGTCAGGTTTTTCTTTAGCTGACATAGAACAATGAAGAACTAGTTTAAAAAAGAAATAATGAGCCCAGATCTAACATACCAGGTAATTACACTTTACCTAAAAAAAAAAACAAAAAAAAAAAACTCACCATCACAACCGGAAGTAGCTACTTGCAAAATGCAATTTACATTTCACCTAAAATCCTTGTTTTATTCCTTTTAAGACAGCAAGAACTGAAACAAAAAAAAAAACCAAAACGTTCTTTTAACCTTTTATTCACAGTTGCATTGAATGGAAACATTACCACATGTATAAAAACAGTTAACTTCAGGGGTACATAACAGCATTCAAATGAAGACTGCAGTTTGTGTATGGACAGAGTCAGAACCACATTAACTAAATGCAACCATTTTACAGACAAAACACAAGTCACTGTGGTTCCAATTGTAGATTAACCTAAAGCTTCAGAAAACAAAAACAAAACAAACATTGATATAATGATCATTTAATGTCAGTAATTTTTAATAGCTTCAACATAACTGATTTGATGAACTTGTGGGCCAGATGGAAAGCCTTTAGTGTTGTGTAGATCTACTGGACTACTAACAGACAGGCCACCACTCTGAGAGCAGCTGCCTCCACCGAGTACAGGTGATGGTCTTCCACAGCTGGGCAGCTGCTCCTCATGAACTCAGCCAGTCGGACCAGGTATTCAAGGTTGTGGCCCGTCTTTCCTTTGCAGACTGCAATCTGGGCACCAATCTCCTCTGGGCTCGCCGGCCCAAGATACAGGGGATTATCAGATGTAGCGACGTAAAGAAGGGCCTTCACTGGTGATCCACTCTCACCCTCAGGAAAGAAGTCAACCATCCTAGTGATGTAGCCACCACAGACCGCCTCCCGCACATTGAGGTATTTCAGGGCCTCTTCAACTTGAGAGCCTACCACTTCAAATGCCACACCCCATGTGCACTCCTGTTCAATAAAGAAAGACGTGTCAGATGACATAATGAGGAGAATGTCTTCTGTTCCCCAGTCTCCACACAGTTAATCAAACGGAAACTAAAATTTCCACTTACGTCATCATCTTCGATCAGCGTCACCACTCTTCCGGGCTGTCAAGGAAAAGGGAAGAAAAAAAAAGTCATGGCCAACGCCCTAGTTGAAATAAGAATGGTAATGCCATAACGACACATGAAAAACACACAAGTTGTTAAGTAACTCACCAACTCATCGTTTCCACGATGAAAGTTGTCTCCGTGCCAGAAACGTCTCTTGTAACCATTGACGAAACCGACCCGGCTCCTTTTGTATTTGAAGTCAGGCTTCCACACCAGTGAGCCATACCCGAAGATCCACAGGCTGGCTTTAGCGCTGATGATGTCTTGCGGCTTCATAGTTTTCGATGACTTTTAAATGAATCGATGAAATCAATACGATTTCACGAGCTTACGCCAACTAACTGACTAGCAGCGTTATCTTCCTCCGGTCCAGGAGCAGTGGTACCGGTTGGCTCACAGGGATACCGCGGGCGGTACTGGAGCCCAACTGCTTAGCAGTTGCGAAGATGGAGTTTCGCTGTTGATTTTTTCTTGCCTGATGCATTGCCATTGTTTTAGATGCCCCGCATTATGCCTTAAAAAGCCATGGCAGCCGCTTTGGCTTTCAGATCGCAGAAAGGAATGATACAAAAACCGTTACAGCCAGCTGCTATCGCTGGCCGTTGACAAGGTAATTCAACGATAATAAAGACAAAAACTAACTACAGAACGGATATAATACCTACTTTGTAGCCTCGTACAACTGTAAAAACACTACACCCTGTCTCTCCGTTCTCGATAACATGGCGCAGAATCGTTAGCTTATATATACAGCGCTCAGGCAATAGGCCCGCCTACGTTCGTCCTTTCAGCCAATAATATTTTATGAACGTGCATCAGCTCTTCTTTAATCCAATCAAAAGTTCCTTTTTTGACAAAGGCGGGATTTAAGGTGAAACCAACTATACTATTTGTCCACTTTTGTTCAAAATGATTGGCCACTCAAAAAACATCTTTTCATAATTGGTGAACTGGGTTGTCATTCACAATAACGACTCGACTCGGCTGATGCAACTTGCCAAGGCATTTCAGGGCCTCAGCAGCAGCAGCAACCCACTAAGACATTACATCAGATAATTTCCGGAAGAGAGACTAAGAACCGAACTTCGTTTTATCCTTCCTAAGAAACGCATTAACGTATATTCACACACACGGTGTGAGCATGTTTACATACATGTTTATAAAAAGTAATAAACGTTTTTTTGTAATGTAATCTCATTTGTCCTGGCACATGATGATGGGAAACAACCTTGGTTAGTGTAGGGAGACTGCAGTCCACATGCACGTTTTACATAATTAAAACACGTGAAGACTGTACAGTCCAAGAACCAATTGCAAGACCAGATTTGTCAGGCCCCTTTACAAGTACACACCAGACTCCCCAGAACAACATAAATGTACACGTGATAAGAGAAGGCACACAGTCTTTTTAAAAAATACATTTGATGTGTTTCTGAATCACCCATTCAGAAACACATTTAAAAAACACTGAATGTACTAAGATTAAAACAAAAACAAACAACCAGTGAATTTTAAATTTTAGTTAAAAGACAAAACATACTTGCATCTTCTAGCTAGATTGCTCAGTTTTTAGGATATTTCCAGTAAATATAAATCCAAAACAATATTGTTATGTTGGACTAGTTCATTACCGTAGTAACAATTGTACTATGGTCTTTTAATACTGTCTACTACTCATGCCTGCTGTTCTAAAGTATAACTTAAAATAATATATATTTAATTTACAATAACCTCTATGCAGTGTGGTTTGAGGTTGTTGTTTATTCTTGGATAAACGTTATGCAAGCATTCCTCTGTAGGTCAGTGGTTTGAGGTTAGGGCAGTGGGACAGGGCAGAGATATCGAAAAGTATATCCTGTAGGAAAGGGTGCATCTTTTACTACCACATTAGCAAAATTACATTTGACATGCGTGTCAACATATACACACTGTATACAGCGTGTATACAGCTCAAAAATAGTCGTGGGGGCTGCTTTAAATTCTTGTGGTATTTATGTAACAGAGTGTTAGGTGCTGTCAGAAGTTATTCTTCTTCTTTGTCTTCTTCGAGGACAACATGCTTAAGTGATTTTCTTTGAAATTCATAGGATCTGACACTAAAACAGAGTGAGCCTTTATTGGATGGATTAGCTGTCATTCACACTGGGTGACCTGCAACTAGAAACCTGGACCATAAAGTACAGGAAGTGATTTTTTTAGACATGAAAGAATGAAGAGTTGCTTACTTTACCGAAGGACTAAAGAGATATAAAGATATTTTGTTAGAGTCATGGTATTGTCTAAAGAGTTTCATGTATTCCAAGGTATTGGATTCCCTAAGTTCTATTAGCATGTTTAAGATAATAATGCACAAAAAACCCTGAAAAACCTGAAGAATACTGAAGAAACTACATTGCAGATATAATAATAAACATAACTCTCAACAAACTGTACAATGATGACACACATTGTTCTAAAAATGTGAAAGAATCTGCAAATTCAGCAAAAATGTAAGTTTATGTCTGTAAATATGTAGCTTAGTGAATAATTTGTTCTATAAATGTCGAAAATATTATTTTAGGGATTGTCAAAAAAGTCCTACTGACAAAAAAGACATAATATACTATTTTTTAAGAAAATAAACATTTTTGGTATGCACATACAATGGACTTCTTGTATGGTTTCTTTTAGTGACACCTGTTAATTAATGAGATAACACCGAATGCATTAAAGGCATCACATACCTTTGATTCACTGACTGTCTGCTGTGATGACAGCTTTGGGCAGATTTTTTCACACTAATGTGCTCTCTTTAAACACATTTGATTTTCAAAAAAAAAAATCCTCCATATTTTTGTTCTTGTGACATTGCTTTTCATTTTTCACATTCCCCTTTGTTTGAGTCCCTGCTACCTCTGTTGTTTGGAGGTTATTTCCTCCAAACCCGATTCATCTGCACAGGCAAGTGTAAACTGCGTGAGAAAAACAGCTGGTTTGCACTCGCATGTTTTGCCTCCTTTTTTTAATCACACAGGAAACAGGACCTGATGTCACTGGGTCACAAACAGGATGCTGTGATTATAACACAATGAAAATGCTTGGCCATGCTACGAGGAACCAGAGGCCAAAGAGCAGAGATGCAGCATGTGTCTGCCGAAGAGATGAAGTGAGACTGAGGGCGTGTGCAGGCCGGTGTGAGTATGGTGGTGGGAAACATTTTAATACTGTCAGACTGTCAGGTTACTTATCATTAATAATTGTGATAGTGTTTATGTTTTCCTTGCGCTACAGGAGACAAATGAGGATGCCTTGGTCAAACTAACAGGATGTGTGTGGGGGGAAATCCATTCAGATTCTTGGGTGAGTGTTGAGTGCTCCTGATTAGGGGGTGTTGACCACAGTAAGAGTCCTGATAATTGGAGGCAGGAGAAGTTTTGATAATGAGATGTTGCCTGGACACAAAAGTAGATTTCATGACCGTTAGAAGCGATTTATTCCAGGGAGTGACATCTCAAGTGTGTTTATATCAATTTTATGAGACAGCAGTGTTTTCCAAGACAACGTGAAGGGCAAAGGGCAGTGAGACCAACCAGATTGCGCTGACACTTTAACTTCTCCAAAACACAGATGTATTTATTTATGTGGATTCATAGCAGAGCCACTGGCTCCCATCTGGTTTCCCCTCCCCACTGCCGATGGCCTCAATGCCAGGTCTTCCCTTTTCCCCAGCTTTGTATGCAGGAGTGGGTGGTACAGGACCGGGCATTGAAATATTGCTCTAAACCCTGAAGGGGGATGCAAGCCGGCAGTTGGGGAGCCTGTAAGTGCTTGAGTGTTTTTTTTTTAGCGGGAGGGGCTGTGTGTCACGCACACGGGCAGAGAGGCCTGGCATATGCTGCTGTTTTTATGGCACTACTGATTCACTTCGTGCTCCCCCACGGCATCTGTTTGATTTGCTGTGTGCATGCGTGTGTGTATGCGTGTTTCTGCGCAGACGCGTGCAGGCATTAAAAGAATTGGGGAGGGAGGAGGTGAGCATGTTTCCCCTTTGCCCTGCGCCCGGCTTTGTTTCGCCATTTCCAGCATGTGGGGGTGGTATCCGTGGAAACGGATTTGAATTTCAAGCCAATTTAGGGCCAAAGAGAAGGCGAGGGCTGGGCAAGTGGAGCAGGAGCCAAAGGCGTTTTCCAGGAATTACTTGAGGTAGTGATGCCAGAATCGGGGAGCTTTGTGTCTCTGGTCTACCACTAAAACATGAAAGCATTGAATCTGTCTAAAAAGCTAGTGGCTTTTAGGTTGTTGTTTATCATAAATGAAAAAGAAGAATCAAAGAAATACAAGAGACATGTGATCATCATTTGTACTCATTATTTCATTAGTATTTTCAGTATTTAAAAACACCTCAAAAATAATTTTCTTTTTCTGACATCAAATTAAAAACAGTTTGCGAGGAAGTTTTATTCTTCAGAAGTTTGGTCCTTATAAATATGCATTATATACAAAATAATATAAAACCTATAAAGAGCAGTGTGTCATTTAAATTAAACTCTGCAAATAATAATTTTAAAAATTACATTATTGGTTCTGTATTTTAAAACATATAGGCAGGCAGTGGCGTGACAGTCTTTCAATTTGTTTTTTTTGTTTCAGTTGAGTTGCATAGTTTTATGCAGACTTTTCCCTTTCATTTTGGATCTTGCTGGCACAGCGCTGGCTATTGCATTCCTGTGGGTTTCCTCTTCAAATCGCTGTTGATTAAAAAAACCCCCCTGCCCCTCTGTTGTCTTGTTATGTTGTCTGTAGTGCAAATGATCCAAGAACAGACAAGGACACAAATTTAATGTTTAACCCACCCCTCCTCCCATTTAAGGCTTCTAGTGAATTTGGGCTGCATACAATCTTCACCATTGCGTGGAAAAATCCAGCCAGTCATTTACATGCGATTGACAGCTGAAGATTAGCTTCAGACATTCATAGCTCCCAGTGTTCGAGTGGTTGGATTGTGACGGTGGGCGAGTTCACTTGTCTCGACCCTGAGTCTTGCATAGCAGGCGAAGCTGGCAGGAGTTCATGTAGTGGGAGTTTGGAAGGGTCACATCTTAGGCACCATTTCATCTGATTGGTTGGCTGTCAAAGTCATGATTATCACACAAGTCAGATATGAGGGGCAATCATCCACCAGTGCCTCCTTTAACTGTCCATGATGGCTGAATTTATAAATTAATATATGAATATGCTTTAGTCTTCATGCCTTGTTGTCTTTTCACCGCTCTGTGAAACAAGTCCAATGTCACAACTAACACAGAGGTCCTTCGCTGTACAGGTTTGCATACAAACACTCGGTCAACGTAGAGTTTCTTAGTTCTGTTCTTTTTTTTTTCCATGAGCAGAAGTCTCTGCCCTTTGCAGTTCTCAAGTCTTCCAGAGCAGCAGTGGACATCTATAACAATCTCCAGTCTCTTTTCAGCATTTGTAAACAATCCAGCACGTTTTGTTACACCTTTTTCTTTCACTGAATTATTCCTCCATTACTCACAATTTATACCTGTGAAAAACAGACCAATATATTAGTACATCAAAAAGACTATAATAGTCCCACAGCTAATCGTGAGGTTTGTACAGCCCCCTTTTTCTGAATTGTTATTGCTAGTGGTGTGGAATTCTGTTCGGAAGTAAAGGGAAGTAAACATCTAATAACATTCCCTGGAATGCCACGGCAGTAATTTGTAGTACCCCAGGGACCAAGTAAAGCCAATCATGAGGGGAAGCAGTAAATGTTTCTGGTTCATCACCGGGCCAAGATAAAGAACAGCCAGAGACAGTTACAGAAACCCAGAACTGCATGGATCAGGCTCCCTCACCTAACGTCCAAATACCACACCACAGTCTCACAGCCTCCATCGTTAATGCCGTGCACCGGTGAAGGACAGTGCAGTCGGGGCTGACTCGACTGACTGACATTTCAAACAAACAATCCTTACAGATATTATTATGACAGGTACATTTTTGACTTACCTCTGTCGCTATTACGCATTCCCTTCGTTCTTCTGCTATAACAAATACCGACTGGTACATGGAGTCTCTTGAGGAACATATTGTTGATATCCTACACTCTGGCTTTTCACTGCAAATACAAATCACACTTTTTGTTAGCACAAACTAGAAGCACATAGCAGCCCTGTACAGAAGGTATACAAACATCAAGAAAGAAAACAAAATGGTGATTCAAATTCTCTCACCTGTACACTCTACTTAAGGGAATTTTATCTCCTAAACACTTGTCATAAATAAGACTTTTATCCTCGGGTGTCTTTTCGTCCTTAAACTCTTTCGATTTTGAGTTGTATGAGTCCAAGTGATAGTTTTTATGGATAAAGTTCGATTTCTCTGAATCACAGTCCACCTCCAGGCCGATTTTCTGGTTGGTGTTTTTTAACTGTGACGCTGGGATCAGGTTGTCCCTCTGGAAATTTGACAGATTGTTCATAGTTTCTGTGTCTCCCCTGTCCCTTTGGGCCTGCCTGTGGATGTGCCTCAAAGCCAGGCCCACCATGCACAACAGTACCAACAATGCCACCAGGCCCACAGCCAGGGAAATGGCTGCCCACTGGAAGCCATCGTGGGCGTCTGCATTGGTCACAGGGGAAGTCACGGCGGCAAAGAACTCGCAACGAGGTCCAGTGAACCCCGAGGGGCAGATGCAGGTCGAAGGAGGCTTTCCTGGTCCACCGCCTCCAAAGCAGATGCCACCATTGAGGCAAGGGCTAACGGAGCATTCGTCCAGGATTCTGTCACACTTCCGTCCACCATAACCTAGCGGGCAGGTGCAGGTGTAGTCGTTGATTCTGTCTTGGCAGGTGCCTCCGTTAAGGCAGGGGTTTCCTGCACATTCATTGATGTTAATCTCACAACGCTGGCCAGTAAATCCTGCACGGCAGCTACACCGTACTCCATCTTGGATCACACAGAGGCCACCTGGAGAAACAGAGGTGACCAGTTAGTCCAGAGTTCTCAATGACCGTAAATAAAAATGTAGCATCATCCCACTGTCACAGAGTCTATGACTTATTCAATTAACTTGAAACATGTGCAAATGCCGCCATACACACTATTGGTTTGCACTATTTAACTGTGCATCATTACAAGCTCAAAACAGCCTGTGTGAGCTAAGGAAGCAAGACTTTAAAAAAAAATTAAAAAACATTGGATTAAAATTGTTTGATTCAAACCAAAGGTAGCAAAGTACAAGTTCTCCATATACCTTCCCACGAGACTCTTTCAGTTCACACATTAAATTCAAATCCAAAAGTGTGACTGTGGCGATTGTATGCTTAAATGTCTATTGTTCCCCCACCACAGAACAATCCCAGAGTCCTTTATGTTTACAAGATGACAGAAAACAAGCTCCACTGGAAAATGTGTTCCCTTTCATCAACAACCACAGCGAGCTGCGGTGACATTTACAAGCTGCTTCTCCGAGCGGCCGAGTGTTTATAAGGAGGACAATAGACACCAAGTTCCCACCAATTCCTGTTGTTCCACACTGCTTCCACTTGCAGGAATTTAAAGGGTGAGAAAGAGTGAGGGGAAGTTCAAAGAGGGGGGCGCAGAGGAGAGGAAGAACGTACCATTAGCACAGGGAAGCGACGTGCACTTGTCCACTTTCCTCTCACAGTTGAGTCCAGTGTAGCCCCGGGGACACTCACACATGTAGCTGCGGCCATTGTCTTTCTCCCAGCACTTGCCACTGTGGAAGCAGGGTGAATCGGCACATGTCAACAGGCTGTGCTCACAGTGGGACCCCTCAAACCCTCGTGGACACGTGCAGTTGTAGCTGTGTTCCAAATTCTGTACAAACAGAAAGGTAAAAGGGAAAAATCAGTTTAACTGACAAACAAAACAGTTCAACTACAAATATCTCTTCAAAGTGTAATCAAAATAATTCCCCGCTTACTGTGCACGTCGCTCCGTTCCTGCAGGGGTTGCTGTCACACTCCTGCATCTCCAGCTCACAGTTGACCCCTGTGAAACCCGGCAGACAGGTACAGGTGTAGCTTCCCTGGCCTGTGTTCATACAGGTGGCGCCATTTACACAGGGATGATGATGGGTGCAGAAGTTGAGGTCTATAGGAGAGAGGAGAGTGTTTGTTTACACAGAGCCTGCAGGGGGAAAAAGACACTGCACCACGTGTGTAAGGCACATCACATGGAACACTTCTTGGGAAACCTAATTTACTAATGCTTTTAGGTTAATTCAAATGAAAACAGTGTGCTAGTAATGTGAGAGGATCTTTTAAAAAGTAACAACAGCAGTGGTCCAAGTTGTCTGGTTTACCTTGGTCACATAATAGGCCTCCCCAGCCCTCCTGACAGTTGCATTGCCATGGCATCTGGCAGGTACCGTGCTTACAGGCCGGGTACTTCTTACACTCGTCGCAGAATGTGCCTTGCCAGCCATCTCTGCATCTGTAAAGTACCAAGACATCAATCATTTAATAAAAAAATTGCATCTCAAATTCATAGTTTCATTACTACACACTAGTGGTCATTTACTGTATATACAGTAAGGGATCAGGTCATAATACTGATAAACATTTAATCCACATTCCTGAAGAGCATATGGTCAGTACAACACAGTTGTTGCCAGTATTCTAACTAACAATCCTATTTGGAGGGAAGTTCTCTGCCCAATTTTATATATAAAACTAGTAAAACAGATATTGAAAACTCATTAGCAAAGCATTAGCAAATTTGCACCGATGTGAAAAGTTTGACCAATTTGAGCAGTAAATAAAAAAACAAAATCTGTATTATTTACACATGCTGATGAGACCTATTTCGGCACAAATGTATGTCATAATGGCCGCCGATTCCATGCCCTGTGATGATGAAAAGCCGTACGGTCTAGTGCAGGGGTCTCAGACTCGCGGCCCGGGGGCCAAGTGCGGCCCGCAGTACAATATTTTGTGGCCCGCACCTTAATATAAAGGTATAATATTAGTGTGGCCCACGGAGAAAGTGGACCTCCGAAGAGCCAATCAGCAAGCTCCCGCGTGCCGTCCCTTGTCGGGGCTAGGCTAAGCTACACCAGCTTCGTGCACTTCACTCTTGCAACAACAGCACGGCGTGTAATGAACAGCCAGACAGCAGTTGCCTTTGCGCTTGCCATCTATGGTACTTTCTACCACAAATGTCATGATGTGTGACGGAGCACCTGTAGGTGCTCTGACATTCCCCAACTGGCTAAACACTTGTTTGAAACGTGAAACAAGAGCGCTACTAAGCGGAATCAATGAGATTTTGTCATACCCCAGTCATGTCTTCAT